TTGAAAACAAAACCAAAAGGAACACTGAACTATGTCCTTAGAAAGAAAGGCAAATACAATTGATCCACTAGCGTGCACATCCCTAACTCCCTGGCTTCCTTGCTTGGCTGGACTGCAGACTTAATGAAGAGATGTAGCTGCCCTGACATTTTTAGAGAAGAGCATGAGTAGAATCAGTATTTTCTTCCTCCATAACTTGGGTTAAAATGTTTTCCCCTAATTTCTGTGCAGTATCTGGAATTGAGCATCAAGCGTATATGGGAAATTATACAGGATTAAAAGAAAAAAAAACAACAATAACAAACAAGCACAAAAGAAAACCACCAACACAAAATACACACCAAAATATACTAAAAACCCACATTCCATCACCATTTGCATTCTCTTATCCTAAAATAGCTCTTTTGCAGGTGAGGGTATGGATCTTCCCTAGGAGTTCCAAGATAGGACAGCTAACTGTTGCTAAGCAAACACTAACAGCTTCTTCTGATGCATTAGCATGCTTACAACGAGTATGCTTTTCTACAGTTTGCAAATTCAGCACTTACCATGGTCTCAAAACTCTGCCCTTCCCATTCTTGTTAGTATCAGAGAAACATGGAAAATAATCTTCCCCAATTAATGACAGTTTGCAGTCACAGCAGGATTTACATATATTGCTGTTCTACATTTATGGCCTTATTGCAGTCAATATTAGTATTCTGATTATCACTCCATATTTAATTTTAAATTGCAATTTCGGTTATGTTTTTCTTGATTAAATTATACTATATTTGAATTGCACTGCATCTCACTTTCCGTGATGCCGCCAGATTTTAATTATTGGATGGTTCCTGAGGATATCTTTTAGATTTAAGATCGTTTGGGTGTACAATATGCATCCCACAGCTATCAATATACACTGTTATCTATTAAAAGTATGACATTGATGTGTTTCATGTATTTGTTTTGCTGCATATGCAGCAAAATGTGCAAACTCATCTAGAGATCTAACATTTGATATTGAATTGACCTAGAACAGCTAAATATTCACAAAATATTCTTCCATTTACTAACTTTTGCTAAGAACTACATCCATATTGTTAATTTTTAGCTGGTGGGACTTTTGGAGTATGCTTTGATATTTGGTTGTTACTTAAATATATCACAATGTGCTAAGCTTTTTTTCAATATATTAAATGATAACAGAACTTAGATTGAGGCCACCTTGGAAAGAGGAAAAACACAAAAGGTCTTTTAGATCACAAAGCTGAACACTGCAAGTTAAAAGATTCCCTATTTTCCCCTTAAAAAATGTATGTCTGGAATTTGTGAAAGACGAAGCAACTGCCAGTACAGCAGACATGTAAACTCATCTTTTATTCCAGGGTCCTTAATTCAACTGGTAAGCGTGAAGTGCCAGTTCTGTGTCTCCCAGAAGGTTAGATTATAATATAACAATGTATTCCACATTATATTCTGCCGTGCTGGACTGGTAAACCACACAGTGGATATTACCAGCAAGTCCAAATTACCTAGCTATTTTAATGCATCTTTATTGGTTTCAGAGAGCTGCAGATGTTTATCAGGAAAGAAAAATTCTATTATTGCCCTTACATTATCTACACATATTGCACAAAAAGAGATTAAGGAACCAAAAAATAGAAACAAAAAGAAAATCTAGTATTGTATGGGAACTCTCCAGTCTATTACTTACTGGAACTATAAATTGTTCTTCTACCTTCAAGTACAATATGCATCACTGGTCCATTCATTTTCTTTACTACAAGAAATTTATATTACCCAAGTGAACTGTGAAGCTTGGTGCCAATATTTATTTATGAGGCCGCTTAAATTCAGATTAAGAAATAATTTGCCATTTTGAGTAAAATAGGCTAGTTTCTCTTACTCACGTTTTCACATAATCTCTCTTACCTAGGACTAGCACGTAAGTATTTGTCTTAGCAACTTAATCCACTGTTTGATATACAGATCAGCTTATATGTTATAGTACACATCTATACATGCTCACCTACACATTTCCAGTTTGATACAAAGAAATAAGAAATTTGCACAATTACTAAGAAAGGAAAAAAAAAAACCATCTCATTCTAACAAACCAGACTTCATCACATTTAAAAAAAAAAAAAAAAATCAAAACAACTTTATCATTGATGCTCAGACATTTACCACTAGGAAGGTTGACTATGCCCTGGAAAAGCAGGGAGACACTTATGGAAAGCATAGACAGCTCAATTAAATCTACTGAAATATCATGATTTTTTAGCAGCATTACAGCTTTTTCTTTTATTATAGGAAGTACAGTTAGGCAAAAAAAAATTCAGTGTGCTTCTAAAAAAAGTGAAATATTTTCTAAAACAAATCATTTAAAAGAACAGTTATCTGCAGAAACAGATTCTCTTTTTTAATTTTAATTCTGCCTTTTTAACTCATGATTAGAAATTCTTAAATACAAAAGCTAAACATAGTCTGATTTATTTTCATGTCTAGACTGATGCTTGAGATCTTGGGAAGCTGTCGTAAAAAGCTAAAAAATTGTGCAGCCAGTTACCACTATAGATACAAAAGATTCAGAAATTATTCATACACTCTAGAGTTTGAAACCATAAGATCCCCAGCAAATTTTACAGGGTAGAAGGCAAGTAGTCATTAAATTCTCACTTCACTCACAGCACTGTAAAATATAAAAAATAATATAAAAACCTCTAAGATGTGGCTAGCCATATGGTTTGCAGGAATTTCATTCTTCACTGATGAAAAATGAAAAAGGTAAGGCTGTATCGCACTAAAAAAATTAGAAAAATGCATAACTATGATTTGGGTTATTATAGCTCAGATATAATTTGCTTTTCATTAAAATGACCTTTAACTATGCTTTTAAAAATAAGGACTTACAGCAACAAGGACTCTCACAATCATTACATACAACACTTCATTTTCCTCATTAAAATATTGAATGAGTAAGACCCCCATATTCTGGGGAGTGGAAAAAACTAGATAATTCTTTCTGAGTTAAGAAACACTGAGATTCCTTTAGGATGAAGCTCAGGTTTTTCCTCCCCATTAATACTTGTTGGCTTGCCATGTACTTCTACATAGTATAGCACAATTGCCAGCAGAAGATCACTCTCTCTACTGTAGTGTTACCGACAGCAGTATTCTGTATATAGCACAGCTGGATGAAATAAAATTTCTAAAGCAGACTATGATGCTAAATATAGCAACTAATTTTCTTCTACCAGCCATAGCCAAGAGACAGAATTTCTTTTCTTCCCCTGATCACATCCTTTAAAATCTCTTGTAGCTTATCTTGGCTATTTTTCTCTCTCGGTCGAGCTTTGAGAACCATCACATAGGCACCACTCTCAGTTGTTAGCTTTTTTCCAGGATGACATGACAGTTCTACAAAAGCAGCTTTACGGCCTAGTGAAAATATAAAGGAAAGCAGGAAGGAAAAAAGAATTACGTATAATTGGAATTTCTATTCCATCTGTGCTGCAGACTGCATAGGCTCTGCTGAATCAGGCGGAAGACGTAGAGGATACCAAGTGAAGCACTGAGCACTGAGGATTTAACTTGTATCAGTCATTTATGAAAGCTTTTTACCTAAAGTTGCTTGAAATAGGACAGGCTAGAACTCCACCAGTATAGTGACTTCCGCCTCCCCCCCATCCAGTTCCCATCTGGTCTGTGGGTCCGTATGTGCATAAGAGGAAGAAAGGGCAGGGGTTTAACTTCTCTTTAAGTGTCCGCTTCTAATCCAACTCTATTCAAATTGTACATTCAAAAACTTGCCTCCTTGGGGTTCACGCTTCTCCATACTGCTATTTAAATTATAAATCGCCTATTCAGCAGAGCAGAGCATACACCCCACTGCATTACTTTGTAGTTCCAGACTTGACCAGCGTGTTCTGAAAAGCAAAAGAAGCTGTCCTGACCTCCTCCTAGTTACCTGGGCCAGGGAAAAAAACTTATGCCCTTGACAAACCACCTCTTGGCTCTGTCATGGGTAACCATTATTTTGCAGGCCTGGAAAAGGGCATATCTATGAAATCCTTGCAAATCAGTGCTCAGAATGGTTGTAATTGTCCTATTGTATCCGACCACTGTTCATCAAGTCATGGCATTTCCTCCATACAAAACAACCACTACAGGCCCAGGGCAAGCAAGAACAGTATTTTCGTTAACTTTCACTGATGATAAGTCTATAGTTTATAGCTCTGCTAGATGCAACATTTCAGGCAGAAAGCCTTTTGAAAGGTAACAACTTTGCTTTGATTTCATGGCAACGGTACAGTCTTAAGAAGCCATTGAAGATGAAGAGAGCAAATCACATCAGACAGCTTTTATTCTCTATTTCTTCAAAAATTACAGTCCAGGCTAGGATTTGTGAGGATGACAGAAGTAAGGCTTTCCCTCACATAAAAGAAAACCTTACCCCCAAACATTTTTTTAAGTAATACCTGTAATTTTGCTGCACTTCCACTGTTCAGATGCGTGACAAAATGACCTGCCATTTGAAAAGGGGGCTGGGGGAGGACATGAGGAAGAGAAAACGAATACTCCACATACCGCTGTTCCAGTCATCTTTTAAGAACTCCATCAGCTACAAAGTACATGGGCTTTTCCACTTTAAAATCACCAAATTCCCAGAAAGACAGACTCAAGAGAATAAATCAGACCAAAGGCCTTTTAGAACAATTTCTTTTCAGACTAAGTGAAAGCTGAAGGACTGCATAAATGGTATTTCACCTAAGCCACAACATGATAGTCAAGAGAAGATGTTCATTTTCTATGCGGTGATATTTGATTGCTAAGAAAGCACCACATTCCCTGGGCTGAGGTGAGACGTGCCCAGCTACCTAAGGTCATTACATCTGGCAGCTCCAGCAGATGCAGAACAGGAAGCTGTCCATTATACATTCTGAGGTTGTATTTGCTCTTTCTCAGGAGGTCTAGGGACTGCTGACCTTTCTGGATTGTGGGGGGAATCTTTCAGGATGAAGACAGGGAATATCAAAAAGGTGTCCTCAATGGTATGCAGTGCTATTTGGCTGAGGTCAGATAAACCCTGCTCTTTTCACATTAAAGAAAACCTATCAAAAAAAAAATACAAGTGTGATCCACAGACTGGAGACCCAAACGTCCCTCTGGCTTGAGAGGTTTTGAAAGCCGGTGGCCGGGGGTGGTCACTGCCGTTGGCAAATAGTGTGAAGTTCAACATTAACACAAACAGGCCAAGACTTACAATCATGGTTAATGACAACATCATCTTAACAATCCTTAAACTTCCTGTTGCTACTGCTATTCGGTTATTGAGAGTCATCTAAAAATAAGTTAAGTTAATCAGTATGCAAAATACAAAAAGCCCTTCTTTTTTCTTCCCTAGGACTACACCCTGACCATGTACTTCCAGCAGTCCTGGAGGGATAAAAGGCTCTCTTATTCTGGAATACCTTTAAACCTAACTCTGGACAACAGAGTGGCTGACCAGCTCTGGGTGCCGGACACATATTTCCAAAATGACAAGAAGTCATTTGTCCATGGGGTGACAGTGAAAAACCGAATGATTCGACTCCATCCAGATGGGACAGTCCTTTACGGCCTACGGTACGTTGGGTTTTTTAATTGGATATACAGCTCTCCTGGCAGCATGCAGGTCGTGATTGGTAAGTGCAGGTAGTACTAATGCTGCTCTCCTCTCCTTTGTCTTGGTTTTTCAGTGCAGCTTTATGAGTTAGCAAATACTCCATCTAGACCACCACAATACATCCAAGAATTTTCCTCAGGGCATCAAAACTACCTTTAATAGCTATAGCCATAACTAACAAAGCCTAATGCCTCTGTTTCTTTCAGCTCTTCTGAGCATGTTAACACTACTAATGAGTTCTTTATTATGGTTCTCACCTGGTAATCAATCACAGCTTAGACAAACACTTCCTTCCTTCTGAAATTCTCCAGCAGTTCTTTAGAACATGTAAAATATAAAATTCAGAGTCATCTGAAGAGATGCGACCAGCGTTTGGGAATAAAGGGAATAAAGGGAATAAAGAGAGGACATTTGAAAATTTACATGAATTAAGGATTATCTATACATCCAAGTACAGGTTTTCTTTAATCTGCCTTAATTTATCACTGCCTCTTCACACCACAACTGCTTCTTCATTTGGTGCAACCTATGTTTACCCCTGTAGATAAAAATATATTCTAAAATCTGAACAGGCACAATCTGATGAGAAGGTACACAAATGTAAAATTAAAACTAAACCAAGTTATTTGTCATGTTGAGATTGCTGCAGAGCCTGAGTAGGCTTTGCATTATTTTTAAAGTTAAGGTAGCTTTGCTTGGAAAAAAAACATAGCCTGCTTGAAACCACCTTTGATCACTGTTATCATTCAACAGTGAAAATAATGCCTGGAGAATACAAACCTGAAGGCATACTTCAGTTAATCAGAAAAAAAATCATAAAGCATAAAACCTAGCTGAAATACCTCAAAATGGTACCTAAGATAGGACTGAAAAAAACCCAAACTGCTGCAGCAATTCAAAATGAACGTAATATTTGGGGAAAGATAACTTAGAGCTTACTGAAAATAAAAGTCTGAAATGACCTCTTAGCCTATAAAAACATAACCTTTTAAAATACAACACTACCCATGCACTCAGAAAAAGCCTTCCAACCCCTCAACTGAAGCTTCACAAGAAACAAAAAATCATTTAAAAATTATTATTTTGGTTCATCGTAAGTTTTCTTTTGAACTTGTCAGATTTGCAGGCAGCGCATTAGTCGCTACCAAGGACCACACAGGTACGTTGCTACAGCCAGATCTGTCCTGGTACAGAAAAACTGCCACTTCAGTTGTGAAAAAGAACACAAGGAACACATGAGAAAATAGCTGATAGGCTACAGGCTGTCATTATTGTCAGCTAAACAAAGCATTTGAAAAATACATCTTTCCCAATGCCATCAGACCTCCTACGGTTCCTTTCAATCAAACTGACTCCTGAAAAATCAGCTTAGCAGGGCAGTTATCATAAGAGGAATTTTTGGCCTGAGAACTTCAAAAAAATTTTTTTTTTTTTAAAAAGGCAAGGAACTAAATTTATTTACATTCCAGGATTTGCACAGTGGCAAGAATGTGCATTAGAGCCAAGCAGTCCCTCACAAGCCGTTGTATACAATATAGACTACACCTAGAAATATATGCCGTGCACATACTTCCATACACATGCCATACATCTGATATCAATAACTGTCTTCTGCAGAAGTAGCAAAAGAAGCTGTGACACATCTGGTGAACCTGCTGCAAGTCTTCTCACGTACTTCACCCACAAAGCACCAACCTGGCCGAGAAGCTGTGACCCTGCCCAAGCATAATGCCTGTGGTCTTCCTCTCAGAGGTGCTCAGGCAAACCTCCAGTTTTGCTTTGCAACAGCAAAGACGGTCACCTTCACATAATGAGGTTGCTACTTCCTATGATTAAATAACAATTCACATTTGAATGGTTAAGCAGCAGCTCTGCAACAGCTGCAGCTCTGCAACTTAATACCCCACCCTATACCTCACTGCTCTTGGTAAGAAAACCAAACAAAAACAAAAAAACAAATAAACAGAAAAAACCGCACTAATATAAAGGACAACCTATATTCCACCTGCACACTCTAGTACTGGGCAATTCTCTTCTCCTCCCTTACCCCTGCCTCATGACCTTAATGCACGCTGGCACAGGGGCTCTCCCAGGCTTCTGGGCTTCCCCACCTTCTCATCCCGGAGAAGGCAGCAGGGGCTCAAGGTGCAGCAGGCCAAGTATTGTCAGATGTGCCCATCTCCACCAACAGCTTTGTCATCACCAACCACATGTAGAAAGAGACACTCGGCTGTCAGGTCTTTTTCACAGCTCAAGCTGATGTGCCATGTTTTCTCCCAGGACAAGGCAGCTGTTTAGACACATCTGGTGAGCAGACTTTGGTCTGCCAGCTGCCAATAAAAACACATGTAGTGTCCCATCCCACGAGAAAGGTCTGATCAAAGAGAGATAACAAATGAGCAGAAGAAAGAATGAAGTTAAGAGACACCGAAACAGGTTTCATACAGCAGATGGCAGTTATTGCACTAAAGTTTGCATCTATTAGTGGTCACTTTCCTCATGTTGATAAATATGCTTGTGTCAGTCTATAGATTACCTTTAGATCATACAAACAGCAATTTCTTCATATACCAGATGACATATATGCCTCATAAGAAATAAAAAAGGAGAAAACACTGCAGAATATGTTCTTAGGTACAATTCAGCATTGCCTTTATAAATTTGAGCACAGCTCCAATCTTAGTCTCACGAGTAGAGAAGAAACTTTGCAACATACTAGCTTGCGTTTAGCTTCTGTGCAGTAGAGAGTGTAAAGACAGTATCACCAAGGCTCTCACAGAGGTGCTGTGATCCATGAGTTTCACTTCTGTTACTGAAGATGGAGCACTGGCTGGCAGGACTTGAACAAGACAGACAACACTAATTACGCTGCAGACCGGGGTCTGAGTTCCCAGCAAATTAGGCAGGGCCTTAAACCATCTCTCAAGGATGATTTAAATGCTTGCTTTCCCCCATGCCTCCTATTCCCCACACAAATTTTCTATTTTCAGTCCAGAGTTAAATGTTTCTTTTCAGGCTCAGATATGAAATTTTACTTGCTTTTTTAAACAGGAATTGGAACGATCACAACAGCTCTAAATAACCTGCTTTACTTGCATCCATGTACTCGGCAGTTTGGCATTGATGCAATGTTCAGTCTCAACAGAGTTGGGGAAAAATAAAACAAGGTTAATCACCTGGCTTTACAGATGAATAAACAAGGGAAATATGCACTGAATACACTGGACTGGTTTTAGATCATATAACAAAGCATTATCACTTCAGTATGTCTCCATTATAGTGTTATTTCTGTGATGAAAAAAACAGTCCCTTTAGGTATTTTTTCCAGTAACTTTCAGCTGCTGTATCCCCATAGTTTAAAGAACGATGTGTGCATATAAACTTGTACAGACACAGAATACTCCTAAACCTTCTGCCCTCTAAGATTGTGCATTGCTGTTATGTCTCTTACTGCAAATGCTACTTCTGTGAATTATTCACAGTAATAAATAATGCGTAACATTACTAACCAAATAACTCTTTCATCCTATTGCCCAAGCAAGTAAACACACATAAACTTATTTAACTCCACATTACTATTTCCAATGAATTCCATTTCAAATATGCCAATGAAGTTGAGTGTCACTGTTAAGTATTATGTACCTGAAGTGTGTGATTCTTCAGTTTCTATCAAGTACTCCCACCAGCAGCTGTTATTATTTTCTGTGGTGTAGTCACCTGCTTCCTAAGAAAGAAAAAAATCCCTTTGAGTCAATGTTCAAACCTGCAGCTCTGTGAGGCTGATGCCCGAGGCAGCTCTAGCCTGGTGCCAGTACAGCTGGTAAAATACTGTGTTCTTCTTTATTTCTTCCCCATTTTTAAGAAGTCATCAGATCCCATTAGCTATAACCCTTTTGGCACTAGCAGCATCTCTCATTACTTTTATTGCCTTTTCAGGCAAGATTCTCTAGAGCTTTGGGAGAGATTTCTAGATTCTCAAACCAGCACATGCTGTTGTTTCTTTTGCTTGTCCTTTCTCCCTCTTTCCTGGATAAGATGCTAAACATGTAATCTGCCTTTAAGATATTTAAGGAAACATTATAAATTTATCGTATTAAATTCCATATTCAAATTCTTATGTCATGATGTCAAGAATAGAAGCTCTGATTTAAATCATCCTTTCCTAGTATTTTTATGCCACCTCTTAATCCTCAGCATTTCACTAGCAGAACAATACCTTATTCCTTCCGAGACATCTGTTCTGTTATCGTGACATTGCCTCAAAATAAACATCAGCAGAATTTCATCTGGTGTGGTGAAAGAAACATATCCTTCAAAGGTATTAGTTGTTAAGAAGTGCAACATAGCTTCAGTGACACCTTTACACCGATTTCCTTTCCTTCTGATGTTCAGATACAAGCCCATCTTTCATTAGGGCAGGGCTTCATTTATTTCAAGGCAGGGGGACTGAGCATATCGTGACAAGCATGCGAAGGTCTGGCTCGGAGCACCAAAACGCAGCATTTTTATACTACTGCAGCAGAGAATGCCATGTTGCTAGGCACTGCTACAACTGCAAGGGGCCGGGGGGAAGGATGATCTTTGCCTTCAACGTAAGGACTTATTTCACCACTTCTTACACAAAGAAGGTTTTCCGTGACAAACACTGTAAGAGACATCCATCTACCTCCAACCAATTCAAATGTGAATTGACCCATGCAACGTTGGATTTACTAACCACTTATGCATGCAATATCCATGGAAGTTCATCTAGCATATCCTAAAGGTGGAATACAAGAAAAGCTATATTTAAAAGCAGAATGCTTTGGTTTTAAATATAATCTTAAAAGTAAATTCAAGTGTAAACTTCCCTTCTTGGCTGTCTCTATTTTGGTGATATATCCGAGAGTTACTAAAGAAATTTGCCAGCCAGGAGCTCACATCTTCTAGTGCAGTGAAATTTCACTGCTTTTTGGACTGG